AGCTCTGCCTGTTGGTCATTGCATGTAACAAATGAGCTGAGCTCTGGTCGCATCGTCCTGGCTGCCATCTTGACTTTTTTGACCACATCCTGCAGATCCCTCTGGCCAGATGATTCTGAGAGGTTTGGGGGGTTGGTAACTTTCTTCAGCATCTGATAAAATACTTCCTCCTAGAGGAACACTATTGATTTATTGCCTGAGACAGACAGGATGACTTGCCTGCATCTGCCAGAGTCGGACACATTTTGCTCAACTGGGCACATAAATGCGCATTTCTTTGGCTTCCCCGGCCTGTTTGCCCTGCCATATTTTCCTCCAGAGTCTTGATGTCACCCTGAAATAGGGCAGACTGGATCTGACCGCCGGCTTGGTCTTTTCTGCTCCAAAATGCGATGCGGCCCAGCTTTGTTTGGAATCCAGTTTGAGTCCTAATTAAATATTTGCCCGGTTTGATGCCTTTCCAGGACTTTTCCCCCTTAAGGTTTTTATTGGTCTGCACTTTTGATGGAATTTCCTGCAATTAAACAGGTAAACATTCCCAATTAGCAAGGGGCCAAGTCGCTAAAGAGAGGGAGCTTGTGAAGCTGGTGGCAGAACGGAATTCGAAGATGGTCAGCCTGTTTTGGCGAGAAATGAGGAATTCAGAGAACTCGCCCTACTTTTTCTGGCAGGGTCACCCACCACATAAGGCCCGTTGAATGTGGATCTGCAGAGGAACTGCCTCATTCCATATGTGGTGAGCTGGTCTGAATCAGTGTTTTTCAAGCTCGGCGACTCTAAGATGGGTGGACTTCAACTCCCAGAATTCCCTTGGCTGGGGAATTCTGGGAGTTGAAGTCTACCCGTCGTCAAGTTGCCAAGTTTGAAAAACCCTGGTCTGAATCATCTCCTCTGATCTCTCCCCTTGAGTTGTGGTTTTGAGTTCAACTGGGTGCCCTCCATGCTTGTCCTTCCCATGCAGAAAGTCCAGGGTGTTCAATTCTCAGTATTGTGGGCTGAACCATGGAGTTTCCCGGCAGAAAATCTAGTCTATTTGCTTCAAGTTGAGCTTGGCTGCTAATGGCAAGTTTTCTTGGCAACTGCCTGAGACTGCTTTGCCCCTGAGTTCTTTGGAGATATTTTTCCGTTTTCCCAGTCCTGACATTTCCCAGTGGTCTCCTATCCAATGTCTCCTCCCCCCCCCCCCCCCACTTAGCTTTTGGAGCTTGACTGACCAGATCACTGACCTTGGAGAAGATCAAGACATCCTTGAGCTCAACTCCTGGTAATGTCCATGGAATTTTTGGGGCAGCTCTTTTGCCCAGCTTTTCTTCTGCAGTGGTTTCAAGGTTCCAGTTTAGCCCTGGGTCTTCCTGGTCATCTCCCATCCAAGTACAAACCAGACTTGACCCAGCTGAGCTTTTTGAGATCAACCAAAGTTGGATAGGTGGCCCCAGGGTGGTCTCTTTCTGATTATTGATGAAGACAGAGAGAACCTCTAGCCTCAAGTTGTGTCTTGGTGTTGTCAGGCGTAAAGCAAGGAAGCCAAAGCCGTGGGCCATGGGTCGTTGTCTGGGTCACATGGTCTATTTTTCAGTTTCATCACCTGAAAATATCATTTCTCCCCCCCCCAAACTTTTAACAAGATCCTCTCCCAAAGGGCAAAAGGAAGGGGAGTTGAACATTTTTGTTCCTCACTTCTGTAGAATTGGTGAGCTTTGAGCCACCAGGGTTGCAATGCATGTGTGTCTCTCTGTGTGTGTGCATGCGTGTGTGTGTGTGTGTAAAACCTGAATCCAAGAAAAGGAAAAAGGTGTTCTTGGCAGGGAGGGAGCTTCCCAAAGGGGCCATCTGCATCTCTTTGTCCATTTTAGAAACTGCTGGAGTCTATCAAACTCATTAGATAGGGGTATGTGATGTGGTTGGATAATTAGTAGGGTTAATATCTCTCTACCCAGGGGGGTCTGCGAGGTGTGGTCAAAAAAGTCAAGGTGGTGGCCCTCAAAGCTCCACCTGTTTTTGATGGGCATCACGCTGAGTAGAGCTCTGATCACACCATTGCAGTCACCCTCTTGACATTTTTGACCACCCGTATCTATTTCTAGAATCACTGTATCCGAGAGTCAGAAAGGTCCACTGAGACCATCTAGTCTAACCCCTGCTCAGGGCAGGAATCCATCTGAAAGCCTCCCAGGTGGATGGCTCTCCAGCTTCTGCTTGAACGCATCTACCACCTCTGGATTATTGGCTCCCTGCTGAACTGCTCTTCCTGCGAGGAAAAATGTTTGCTTCACGTTCTCTTGCAACCCACCTTCCACTCTTCTGTGTCCTGCTCCTAGAACATGAGAGAAGGGATCTAGACTTTCTGGGAGAGATCCTTTCAGGCCTTTGAAGAGTCCTGACCTCTCTCTCTCCGTAGGACTTGGATGCGCGTTCCCTGACGCTCCTCACTGTTCCTCTCTGCCCTGCCTCCAGTTTCTCTTCATGGAGCTCAGAAGACTTGGACGCAGGGCTCAAGGCAGGGTCTGGCCCAAAGAGAACAAAGTAGGACAATGATCCGTGATTTGGAAATTCCCAGAACTGCAACTGCTCACGGGTTTCAGTTATCCCTGAGTGTCCAAGTCAATCAAAAGGGTTTTTTTCCCTTGGGCCATTCATGCACCAGGCTGGGTATCAAAGCAGTGGCTTCGTTGTGCTTTTGATCATCAGAGATGCTGCTGAGCGAGACAGCGCAAGAGGACTTTTGTTCCGCTCGCTTTTCTCGCTCAGCCACCAAAGAGAGCAAAGGCTGATTATCTCAGCGTGCCTTCAGACCGCAGCTTTATGCTAGAAAGAATGCCAGCTCTGATATCCTACGCACATTTTTGCCAGCGATAAACGCATGCATATTTATCAGCATCCAGAAAGCAAAATAAATTTTGAAAGGGTTTTTGCCTCGAGGGAGAAGAAGAGTTCACTTCTGAAACAATACATTAAGTTTTCTAACTTAAATATGGTGGGATAGAATCATCTGCTTTAAGAGTCCCCCCTTCCAAACATCCCAGAATGTTTTGGGGGGGTCCAGTTTGATAGCAGATCTAGAAATACTTCCTCCCACGCATACCCGCTATTTTCAAATAAAAATTCTGCCCACGCTTTGAAAATGGTTCTTAAGCTCAAAGCAGAAAACCACAACTCTAAATGTTGGGAATCAGGTCGAGTGACTTAACCTCAGATTTGTGCTTTTCAAACTTGGACCAAAGGATTTTGCAGCAGAGTCTCTTCTTATCTTATTTTAGAACAGGATCTTTATTTAAAAAAAAAACAAACAAAAAAACCCCCTTCTCATTATGGCTGAGAAATCTGAAAAGTCCCTTCTGTTCAGAATTTATACACCTGTATTCATCTTCCTGATTTATTAGTAAGCTCTCCAAATTCATATCTTCCAGACTTTTGTAATGTGTCTGTAAATCAGAAAAGGAACATAAAAATGTGCACGAAATCACACTGTATTGAGGTAGGGGGGAGCTGGGGGAAGACATGTAAGAAATAGGAAAGTGCATTCAGCAATGTCAGCTTTAGGAGAACACCACTCTGGTTTATAGGTGTCTCTTTTTTTAAAAAAAAAAAGAGGAAATCAGAAAAACACACCAAAAAACACAACTTGATTTAGAAACAGGCCAAAATGAATGGAAAGTTGCACAAATAAGAATTGAGAGAAACCAGCGCCAGCTGAATACACAGCGCGATTCGGGGCTCGTGTAACTTCTGGATTATGTTTAAAGGCGGGGAGGCAACGCGCAACAGAGGTTGTTGAAGAGGCGCTTCCGAGAGAGGGGTGCTTTTCACCACTGTGGCTCTGGTTGGGGCTACAGATGTCAGAAGCGTCGAAATCCAAGGTGGCGATCTTTAAAAAGGCCTTTTGATTCATACAACCATAGAGCCACTGAATGTATGTGTTGAAAGGGATCTTAAAGGCCATCCTCGGAAACCCACCCCTGCTCCGTGCAGGATCCACTCCAGCAACTCACCACGAGGCCCCCAGCCCCCCCCCGTTTGAGAACCAAGGGGGAATCCACCCCTGATCTCAGCAGATGGTCCTGCTGCTTCATTAAGCGTTATCTTCTTTTTGCAAACGAGAATTGAAACTCCCCTTGGCAGCAGTGGCCCAGCTCGAAAGAAGGGGAAAATCCCATTTCCTTTGGGCTCCTTGATTGGAGCAGGTGCCTCATCTTGTCCTGGGTGCTAAAATCCTAAAAGGGCCTCTGTGCATGCCTAGAGGTGCCCTTTCGGTGGAGGAAAGCAGGCGCCGGAGTCCCACGTCCATGCTTTGATTCAAGGCAGAAGAATTCGATTTCCTGAGTGCCGCCATAAGCTGGGCCATCGGAAGGATCCTGAGCAAAACAGGGCTTTAAAGCAGAAATGCACTTTTTTGCCCTAATTAACAGTCTGTCTTTTTAAATGATTTTTTAAAAAGATCTGTTAACAAATCCTGGTTTGTTTTTATTTGTCATTTCACTCCAGCTGTGAGGCTCTTGTGTGCAAATTCCAGTGTTTGCATGCACGTCTGCACGTGTGCGTGTGCATGTTAGGGGGATAATAATTATCCCCCAAATATGTTCTTTTTTCAAAAACAGGTAGGAATTTTCTGGGTTAAGGTATTGGACTGGACGGAGACAGGTGGTAAGAAGATCCGTTCTGTTCTGCCTCCTGGACCGCTGAGTTAAATACTCTGAACTGAGCTCGGTTCCTGTTGACGGCATCCGTGCGGTTTGCTTGGCAGCCGGATGGAGGAGGTCGCTCCTCACTTATTCCAAGATCCTTGCTTCGACTTCTCAGTCCAGTTTACAAGCCGGGGATTTCTTTCTGGATCACCAATTTTGTTTTTTAAATTAGCCCAAAGGGATCTGTCTCTCGCACACAAACACACACGGACGCTTAGGAAGGTCCAAAAGTTGAGCGAGAGGCTCCTTCCTGACCCCCCGCCCAGTCTGTTTCTCTCCTTTGCTCTGCTGGGTCCTGCAACTCTCTCTCACCTCCACTCACTTCTTCCGGGATGAAGACCTGGGATTCCCAGCCGCCTTCGCAGCTCCCTTGGAACCGCCTCTGAGTTTCTCCTTGCCACCACCCTTCTCTTCGTCCGCTCTCTTCTTCCCCTCTGGTTTTATCTCACTCCCTTGTTTCTTGCCTTGTTTTTTCCTTGTCCCTTCTTTCTCTTCCTTCTCAGGTCCTTCCTTGTCCTCTTTCTCCTCTTGCTTCTTCTTCTCCTTCTTTGAATCTTTGGGTCTTTCTTTCTTCTTTTGGGCATCTACCTTCCCAGATACCGTGGGCACTTCTTCCTCCTCTACCTTCAGTTCCCCTGGACCTGGGGCTGGGGAGGAGAAAAGGGAGCAGAGAGAGAGAGGAAAGGGTGAGAAACAAAAGGTGCCTTTTATAAAAACAACCCTACAAGTAGTCCTCAACTTACGACCATTCATTTATTGACCGTTCAAAGTTACGATGGTGCTGAAAAAAGTGACTTACGACCGGTCCTCGCACTTACGATGGTCACAGCATCCCCATGGTCACGTGATCAAAATTCAGGTACTTGGCAACCAGCGTGTATTTACAATGGTTGCCGCACCTGGGGTCACATGATCACCATTTGCAACCTTCCCGGGGGGGCTTCCAACAAACAAAGTCAATGGGGGAAGCCAGATTTGCTTAACGACCATGGCAAAAAAAGTCATAAAATTGGGCGTGACTCACTTAACAACTGCATTGCTTAGCGATGGAAGTTCTGGCCCCAATTGCGGTCATAACTCGAGGACTACCTGTAGTGTCTTCTCTGCGGATGACGTACAAAGAGGCCACCATCCTTGCGATGGGTTGCGTTCAGAACAAAGCAGGCACTGAATAATTGCTTTGGTGATTTGGGGGCAGGACAAAGTATCCAGCCATTGGGGTGGGACCAGCTTTCTCATGGCTGGCCAGAGTATGCAAGCAGTGGGAAAAGAATACTTATGGATCCCCGTTGCCCCCAAGGGAATTTGTGGACTAAAGCTGGACAAATGCTCCGTGACCCAGAATTTCTCTTGAATCTCTTCCAGAAAGTCATCAGCTGTGAAGTTAATCCACAGATGGCCTGACACCTTGCTAAAAATGGGCTATAGAAATCACAGCTTTTCTAGATAGCGTTGGTGGGGTATTAGCAAATTGGTATATCTCACCAGAGCAGGCCTCAGCTGAAACCTTCTGAATAAATTGGGGAAAATTCCTAGCAGTCTTTTAAAAGGGATCTTCCAGTTGTTTTGTTGACCTTGGTCTTTATTGCTTATAAACTGAAGCAAGATGAAAAATTCATTTAGTTCTTACTTGCTGGCTGCTAAGTTTGATCTTGCAGAACAGTCTTTGAAAAGGTTTTCAGAAGATCAGATTCATTTGCTATTCAGAAGTAGAGAAACTGCGTTGGCTGAAAAATGAACTTGACTATACTGTAGGGAGTTATGAAAAATCCTTCCCTAAGGATAAATTTAGTCAATAGCTATATATATATTAGTTATATTCATACTGTAATGTTTATTCTAACAGATTACCCATGACTATATAAATGTCATGTTTACAAGTATATTAAATATAAATGATTAGAAGTCCCTACACACAGAAATATTAAAGAAAAATTATAGAGTTATGAAAAATCCTTCCATAAGGATAAATTTAGTCAATAACTATTTATTAGTTATATTCATAATGTTTAACAGATTACCCATGGCTGTATAAATGTCATCTTTACATGTATATTAAATACGGATGATTAGAAGTCTCTGTTCACAGAAATAGTAAAGCAAAGGAAATAAGGTAGAAATGGGGTAGGAAGGAAGAAAGGGAATCTGCACTGAGATTAGCTGGAGCAAAACTGGGTGGAGAAGAGGTGAAGCAGATGGGGAAGGACCAAGCCAGCTCAGAAACTCTGCTCGGGTGTCATGAAAGAGTTAAATTCACCAGGCAAGCAGGACTCCCAAAAGGATCAGCAGGCTAATTTGCTTTCCGGGGGCGACGTCTGCAGCCATTTGCAGGCTGCCCACTGGTTCATTTTCAACAGCAGATGTTATTCTTCTCCACCAACATAAGATCTTATCACATAAGCAGAATGACTCAGGGGAAACCCTTATCTTCCTTTCGGGTACATATGTTTGAATGCAGAAACGTGTGATGCACACAGACAAACGCAACATCTCTGCAGCTGGTTCTTGTTATTCTTTTCGGGGAGTTCACCTTCTATATTTTTATTTTGCACAGCCGAAAAGAAGGACATGAATAATGATGGTTTAGAAAGGTAAACCAGGTTGCATGTACTACAATATTTGTACAAGCAAAACAAAATCACTTTGAAACTTCAACTCTGGAGGTTGAAGAACCAAGATGGATTGTGAACAAAGGAAGCTCCTTTGCTCTTTTGTTCTTCTTGCTGGATATTGATCACCTAAAAGAAAATGTATGGAAAATTCATTTGACCTGCCTGGAAGGTTAATTAATACTATATTTTATTCTTCCCTTGAATTTTAATCAGACTTTTATTTTTTGTTAACCTGATAGCTTTTAGAGATCTGGATTTCAGCTGTATTTTTGCTTTTATAAGCTTACCATGTTTTGACTCTAAAGTAGAGTCTTTTTCAACCTTGGCAACTTTAAGATATATGGACTTCAACTCCCCAGCCAGCATGCATGGACTTCAACTCCCAGAATTCCCCAGCCAGCATTCTCCAGCCATCCAAGCTTGAAAAACACTGCTATAGTAACTGTCCTGTGTCTCATTGATTGTTTTTATATTATAGTTGTCAATTGCAGTCTCTACACTTTGACTTTATGTTGGCCAAAGACAAAAATAGTTTTATATTAAAAAAAAACCAGTAAGATCTTTGCAGAAAACTTTATAATTCACACAGTATAAATCTTCGTACATTAAAATCTTACCCCCCTGATCTTGCTGGCTAGGGAATTCTGGGAGTTGAAGCCCACCCATCTTAAAGTTGCCAAGTTTGTGGCGTCCGTGGGGTTCTCTGAGCTGGGTTCTTTTCTTGCAAACGTTTCGTTACCCGGCTAGGGAACCTCTTCAGTGCTGGAATGGGATGGGGTTTGCTCTCTGTTTATATACTGTGGCCTGCCCTGCCAGTGCTGGTGGGGGTGGGAGTTTTGTTTTATTTTATTTTTTCCTCTGGTAGTTCCTTGATTGGGGTATTGTTTACTGCTGAGTGTATGTCTGGTGTAGTGTTAATCTCGGCTTATCTGGGTGATGCTTGCTGGTGAGGAGATGTTCTGGCCTTGTGTCTTCCTTTCTATTGTCTCTTTTGAACAGTGTATAGATGTTGTCTATCTCTATCTGCCTGTTGATGGCTGCCTTGTCTGAATGCCAGGCTTCCAGGAATT